AAAAATGAAATAGATTTTTAATTTGTGTGTAAAAACTTTAAAAATTATTTAAAACGATACAGAAGAAGTAATTAATTAGGTTTCAAAATTAGGGATTAGGATGAAATAGGGGGGGGGAGAGAGAAGGAGAAGGCAATAGAGAAGGAGAAATTTGGTTTTAAGTGTTGAGAAGCTTTCCGCAATCTCACTGTGTTAATACGGCGCGAAGGTGAACAAAGACCCAAAAGACTCTTTTTTTTTTCCTCTGATCGGTTTCTTCTTCTTCTCTAATTTCGAGGAAAATTCTCTCGTTTTCCTTTTTTTTTTTTTGTCTCGCGGATACAAATTCTGTTTAGTGTAGATCATCGTCGTTTCCAATGGAGCCGGACTCAGTGGAGATCGCTTTTCCTGTTGCTTCTTGCTCGAATTCTCTCGCGTCGAATAAGGTTAATGCTTTACCAAAATTAAAACTTTTGATCGATTTTTTTACCGACCCGAATTCACGGATTTACCTAATTCACATGCCGAATTGATTTGGGTGATTGTTTGATTTGCGATCATCATTCTGGGTTTCTCCGCGATTGGGGGGGATTTGTTGAATTAACGGTTTAGTGTGTCTTTGATTCGCCTTTAGGGGTTTTCTCACTTGCATTATCCTGTTTTTAGCGATTTCGCTTTGTTGTTGGATTGGTTCTGATCATGGGTTTTGAGGTTTTTGAATGATCGTATTCTTTTCTTGGCGATCTCTCTCTGTTTGTCTCTGATCACTTGAAACCGTAATTTGACTGTTCGTGTTCTGTGTCTTGACAGTTCACTAAGTTTATCTGTTTGGCGTTTTCAATTGTGTGCAATGTATGCATAGTTAGTGTCTGTACTAGTTTGTTCACTGCTCTTGTGTTTTTGATGTGCTTGATTTGCATTGTAAAGCTGAGTTTTTTTTCTTTTACTTGCGAATATCTCTATCTGCTTATATCATGGAGCAAATCTCTCCTTTGGTGGTCAAATGTTTTGTTATTCTGTTGGATATTACGTTATCTCTCACTCGAGATTTTTGTGCGGAATCATTATCTTGTAGGATGCAATTCCAGAAGTGATTGATGTGGAGCAATATGAAACGCAAAACGGCGGTGTTCTTAATAACAACAATGTTGATAATAAGAACAAAGGGAAGGCTATACAATTAGAATCCCCTTCTTACGATGAGGAATATGTAAGTGTTAGATTTTTTCCCTATTATTTATGAGTGTGCTAATGCTTTCACAGCTAAAAGGGTTTTTTTTTTATAATTATTCTAGGGACTTGATAGCGATTATTATGGCACGACGAATAACATTGACTCTTATCCTGGATCCTCTCCAATATCAAATAGTTTGCTAGACCCAGATTCTTTGATTTACGAAGACGACTATGACTATCCTGACCAATATGGATATGCAATGGAGGAGGAGGCGGAGACGGATGAGTACTCCATGTATCAAGACCTTTTTGATTCAAAGGATATCCCAACTGGTGTGGAGGTGTCAATGGAATGGTTTCCAAATTCAGATGGCAATGAAACAGCTAAATTAAGTGGAAGCAGCAAATCTTCTCGTGCCAATAATGGGAATGCATCAGATGCTACTGGTAGCAGTTCCAAGAAAGCAACCAAAGGAAGTGGAATCCATTCTTCCCAAGATATGGCAACTCCTATTGCTCAACCATGGAATTCTTTACCTCACAACTCTGCAGGAGTCATACCAAACTCTGCTTATGCTTTGCCACAGAACAATCCGGCTTTCCATTATTCTGCAAAACCTTTCACTGTCGGTTCTACAACGGTCAAACCGTTGAAGAATTTTTACAATCATCTCCAGCCCCAGACTCCTGATACGGTTATGGGGGAGGCTCCAGCTTCAGCTCCAGCTCCTACTACTATGCTGCTTCCAGTACCAACAAACCCATATATGAAGGGTTACATTAGTTCTAGGCCTAAAGTGGACGAGGTTATTTCAGCTACCGATTCTTCCAGAGTTAAGAGAAATATGGAGGATTATCTTGGTAGTTATTTGTTTTTCAAAAGATTTGACATTGTTGAAGATTTCTCGGATCACCACTATGCGTCTAGGGGAACAACTTCAAAACAGGTTACGACCAATTGAGCATAAGTTTATCATCATTTGTATTAATGTTTGTTTCATTTTTCAAGAACTGACGATTTTTCTTTCTCTTATCAGCATTCAAAGGAGTGGGCGAAAAGGATTCAAGAAGAGTGGAGAATTCTTGAGAATGATTTGCCAGGTTTGTGTATCTACACGCTGTCTTATGCATCAATTTTGTGGCTTGATATTAGGCAACTTCCTTACGCTCTTTCTTCTTTATGTCTTGCAACAGAGATGATATTTGTCAGAGCTTATGAATCTAGGATGGATCTTCTGAGGGCTGTAATTATTGGAGCCGAAGGAACTCCCTATCATGATGGTCTGTTTTTTTTTGATATCTTCTTCCCGGATACATACCCGTCTGTGCCACCGGTAAGTCAGTCGAACTTTCTCAGATTGAGTTTTGGTTGTCTCCCAAAGTCTTCTCTTTTTGATTGTGAAAATCC